AAAAGTGACATACATACATACATACATACATACAGACAGACAGACATACAGACAGGGTAACTGCAAAGACTCCCTTTTGTGCTTCGCACACGGGAGTCAAAAACCTATAAATATTATGCAAATTAGATAATTAGTATGAACATATTTTAACCCAAAAATAAACAGGTCCTAGAACATCTATGTACCAAACATCATTGAAATGTAATGATTAGTTATTAAAATATCAGTGGTAAAGCTGACAATCAACTAATTGGCAAATTAATTAATATGCACAGATATTGCCCAAAACCATGGAACAGCTGAAATATTGTTTGAATAGAAACTAAACAAACACTACATAAAAATAACAAGCAGCCTATCGGCCGAGATAGCTCTGCTGTTAGCAATGCATATTTCAATTAAAGAACAGAAGATATCATTAGAAAATGAACAATATGTATAGTATCAATGCAATGCAACTTGCTGTTTTCAACAAGAATTCAAAAATATCACTTTTCACCAAAAATAATCATCAAAATTAAATAATTGAAGATATCACTATGAAAAGAACAAATCTGAAAGAGGTCCATATGTAGTACCTATATAAGTAATATAAAAGCAATCGAACTTGCGGTTTTTAACAAGAAGTCGAAAATATCACTTTTTACCAAAAATGACAAAAATATTCACCAAAATTAGAGAATTAAAGATATCATCATGAAATGAACAAATTTGAGAGTGGTCCACATGTAGTACCTACATATGTAATATCAAAGCAATTGGACTTGTGGTTTTTGACTAGAAGTCGAAAATATCACTTTTTACGACGACAGACAATCACTCATATTATAAGCTCCGCTCGACAAAGTCGACAGCGGAGCTAAAAAGGTGCAAAATGGTTGAACGTAAATTATGGAGTTCAAAGGGTTATAAACATAACATTTTCTTACGGTACTTTGTGGTATATTATCACGACCAACGTTAGTAGAATGATCCAACACTGCTACACCACCTTCATTAATGCAACCCCAAACATCATCATCACCCTAAAATAAAATAAAATAAAAAGATTATTAACAATTTAGCCCATTAAGAATCAAACGAAAAGTATAAAAGTCCTAAAACTATGCAATAATATATCTAAAATACTGTGTAAAATTTAGGTGGGAACAATTCTGACCTAACACTGTCAAGAACAAAATATTCATCCAAATGAGATCAAAATTGATTATTATTTATGTTCCTCCTTTACAAAATATTATATTATAATACAAGACACTTCGCGATGGGCGTTTTTGTTCACTATTTTATAAATTGGCTTGGCAGATCACACCACCAATTAGACAATGTCATAGCATTTCGGCTACTTTTTCAACAAATCCAAAATCTCTCGACAATTTTGTTTACTTTACATTTTGTACTATGATTACATTTGAAGTTTTGATAATTTTAAAGGATGTAAATATTTTAATGCATACATGTAGACTCACAAAAATACCCCCAAAATAAGAGAATTTATATTAGTATATAGCCTTGACAAAAAAGCAACATTTTTCCTTGTCTTAATAATGCTTTTCTTTTTATCTGTGTAACTTCATGTAGAAATCCTAATGAGAGTCAAAATTCAGTTCAGAACTGACGGTTCTGCAATATTAGGGCTTATCAACTTGTCCACGGAGGTTACAAGATTTTTTTATAAATGTTGTATTCACTGACATTTATTTTGTATTTACATTGACATGACATTTACATGAGGTCCACAATATATTTTTCTTACTGATGTGACCACAGTGACTGTGTAGTGTACTTGGCAGATGTTTTTTTGTTTTGTCGATTGTTGTCAGTTGTTTATTTGTTTTGCGTTCTTGGAATGTTGTACACAAATCAACAATGGTTAAATACGTTTTGTAGGTATATTAATTTCCACTTTTCAGTATATCATAGACAATACTTGTATACATTGTTCTTTGGCATAAAAGCATGAGATTGTAATGTAAATTTTGTTTATTAATCTTGATACAATAACGCTATCTCCAGAGCTTTCAGAGTCCCATGTTGACTATGTCCCGGCCTGTTTACTTACTTACTGTCAGTGTCTGACTGGGATATACAAAATGCGACAAAGTAAACGACAGAATAGTAAAAAATAGGCCAATGGCCTGTTGCTCAACAGCTATTGTACAAAAGATTAGTGCTGTATATGACAAATACCCCAAAAGGCAGTGAGTGAGACAATAAAACATAATGCAAAAAGTGGAATTTTTTACAAAAATAACAGAAATATTCAATAAAATTAGAATCAAAGAGAGCTTAAAAAGAACTCCAGCGTGTTGAGAGAATAACATAACATGGTATTTGCAATTATCTGAATTCGTAATACATGTATATACCAAGTTTTGTTGAAATATGTTTAATGGTTCTTAAAATAGCACCCAAATAGCTTGAATTTCACTAGCTGATATGCAAATTAGATAATTTGCATAAATTTCCACTAAAAACTAAATATATCTGGAAACTGCCCCAACACATCTATGCACCAAGTTTTATTAAAACATATTAAATGGTTCTCAAGATATCACCAAAATAGACTAAATATTGTTATATAAATTAGGCAATTTGCATAATTTCCCACCAAAATCAATCATGTCTATACATGTCTAAATATGTTGAGTGATTATGTTTTCATTACAATCACAATAGACCAATCAAAGAAAACTTAGAACTCCCATGTGCTATGTGAGAATGAGAAACAGTTGACAGAACAAATGAGAAACATTACATATCTCCCTGTGAGCATATAATTTCAATATGGCATCATTGTATGACCTTCCGAAGTTTTGTCCATTTTCTGACAACTGTAGTGCATCTAGGAGAGGGTAATTAAAAAAAATCATGAATTTTTACTTTTAGTGACTGGGTGAAGTGTCATCCAAGCTACATGTGTACCAAGTATCAACAAATTTGGACTACTGGTTTTGAACAACAAGTCAAAAGTACTATTTTTGATGAAAAATTACAAAATATTTGCTAAAAATAGAGAATTGAAGATGTCAACACAAAATGAAGAAATCTGATAGAGGTCCACCCAACGTACATGTATATACCATGCTGGTTTGAGAGCAATCGGACTAACAGTTTCGGAGAAGTCGAAAATAGAATTTTTAACCAAAAATTACCATTTTAAAATATTCGCCAAAATTAGGAAATTGAACAAATTACCAGGACAACCCAAGGCACATGCACTATCAATATCAGCACTGTAGACCACTTAGTGTCATAGTAGCATAGAAGAAATTTTAGAGTTTTGGGGGGCTAATTTGCATTATTTTTGGCAGATCGACTTCTCATGAACAAATTACCCTCTACACTCATCAAGGCATTCACATACCAACAATCGAGTCAAACGGTTCAGCGTTTTTTGAGAAGCAGTCGTGCACAGACAGATAGACGGACGACAGACGCAGGACAGAAACCCATTCCATAGGCTTAGCGGACCTATGGTCCGTTGAGCCAAAAAAAGTAATCTAAAATTAGTTGCCTGTGTCAAGAGAGCCGCAAAACCAAAACAGTCTTTCAGCCGTCACCGTCCACAGCAGCGATACGAGTTTTACACATCGAAATTGAGAATCACAAGTGTAGACCTATTGCATAGAAATGAACACTAAATACAGCTATCCCGGCCAGCAATCAAATCATCAATCTTCATGAGTGGTGTAACTGGTATTTCCATCTATTTCCATCTAATGATGTCAAATTCGCGAGTGTGCGTATTTTTGTACAGTGGCGTAAACATTGCTACAATCAAAGATAGGCTGAACAGGAAGTTCATTCTGGGCTAGTACCATTGTCAATTTTTGGAGAGTAGAGGACCATTTATACAGGAGACGCGCCAGTAAAAAATTGCCCGATTGGCGTATCAAAATCCTGTATTGAAACAGAACATCTGTATTCATTAAAAAACAAAGTTATGTTTCTAGACTTACAATGAACTGGAAACAAAAGAAACAGTCTGATCCAAACAACCTGCGTTCTTGAAAATAGAGTCTTATCGCCCTTGCGTTTCAGAGCTAAAATAAGTCAATGCCAAAAACGAAAGATTTTTGCCAAATCTTCTTCTATGATTTTTTGATAATACCATTAATCCAAATTTTCTATAATTTTTTGATAATACCATTAAATAGGTCTAGCAGGTATATAGGTTATTTATTAGAGACACTCAGGGAACAAAAATTGATGGTGTAAATCACTCCAGCGACGAAAAATCAGCGATAATAGCCAAGAGGGTGAGGGACTGAATTTCAAAAACATATTTTATATATAGGCTATATAATCAATACCAGTATATTTATGATGTCATTGCTACTGATAATTCGCGATAATGTATCCCATTATTGAGCATCAAGGCCCTGTACCATGAATATAAATATGATGTTGTTTTCAAAAAAGAATTAGAAGAAGCTATTTAAAAGAAGAGCTATTGTGACAAGTATTTAATACTACAAGACATAAAATGTCACAGTCCCCGTTATTTGATTATAAAGTAGTACAAGGAACATCTGCAAACAGCTGAATAAATATCTACTCTTTGTGGGTACAACTCATCATAAAGTGATTTCAAATAATCTAGTTTTGTGCTGACAACTAAAAACTTCCACTGACAGTGTATGAAACGTCCGCACTTGGAATCACTGTACACCAAACGAATATGGCTGGTTTGTGAATAAACTCGCACACTACACTCACCAAAAAAGCAATCCACTTGACTAACAGACTCTTATTTATCCAATTTTGTCATATGTTTGTAATAATTTGCCTTTAAACTCGCAAAAAATGATAATATCTGGCGCTATTGAGCGTCGCGACGTGAAAAACACAACTACTCCCTGACAAGGTCCGCCCATCGAATGCTCATTGGTGGAAAGGGCTCGGGTCAAAGGGTCACACTGATTTCAAATACAATAGCGGTCACCTACGAACGCAAATACGGGAGCCAAAATCCGGAAGAAATGGGCGTTTCATCTCTTATGAAAGCTGGAAATGGCATTTTATAGTTATTGGTAGGTACTATCGCATATATCACTAACTATTTTACACCAATCTCAATGTGTTGGTAAATGCTTTTTCGAAAATTCGCTGCTTTACAGGGGCTGTCAAGTAGCATTTCGTCGAACACGGTCTCGCGTTTGTACCGATTGCTTTAAAGTTAAAACACCACTTGTAAAACATGTTTAAAACGCTATTACATGTATCTTATAATGAATAGATGATCGAATATGACTGTAATCGTCAATATGAATAAATTAGAATTTATTTGCACGTCGTTGTTTAGCTGTGTCGTACATCCACCAAAACATATCTGGGTTGAATCTTGGCCTTTGATTGGTGACATTTTTATACATCATTAACAACTTTGTGGACAGCAGAATCAAGTACTTGTTGCCAATGATATCCTGGTAACCTTGTGGACTCCTGCACCAAAGTTGAATTGAAAACTTGATTACTGCCCTGTATCACTACATTCTTTGGGTTACACCTTATCCTATTATTGATTATTGAAGTCAATAACGAAAGCATGTTTGAATCACCGTTCATTGCTATTATGTTTAAGGGACGGCGTCAAAAGATCGATGTCGGATAAAAAACTTAATTCCTTTAGTTTTTTTCCAAACCCCCCTACCCTACCCCCCCACTGAAACTTAATTGATAAATATTGGTCATGGCGTCAGACTACATTCACCATTAAATACAAATTGATAATTGGACAGTAGTATTGCATAGCAGTTGGTTGTCGGGAGAGTGTAAAAAGACTTTACAAATGCACCTCATTTGACGCACAGATTTACA